GTATCTCACTTAATTCTCCCAAGAACCTTGTTCTTACTCAGCAATTATACCATAGTTTACAGGTGAGAACATCGAGGATGTTACTTGTCCAAAGCCACAATAATAATACGAGGGGACAATAATAACTATCTACCTCAAGAATACACGGGTCTTAGTGCAAAATGTAAATGCAGGGCTCCTTGTTCAAAAGTTATTAAGAATTTCAAGACAACAGCAGCAGAGAATTAAATCAAGCATGGGCCCTTAGTCTGGAGTTCTGTGGACTGCACAGCTAGTACACCCATGAGGCTGGCCCTTCTCAAGAGGTTGTAGTAAGGATTAAATAAGGCAATATAATAATAAAAGAAAGTACTTATATAATAGCATTTATTTTGTGCCAGGCATTTTTCTAGGTGCTTTGTAAACAATATGTCATTTCATCTTCACAGAAACTCTATTAGTCAGGTACTCTTTTTACCATCCCCATTTTACAGATGAGGAAACAAAGGGGCAGAGAGGTTAAGTAACTTTCCCAAATCCTATAACTAATAAGCAGTGGAGCTGGAACTGAAACCCAGAGTCTGGGTACATGCACTATACTGGTGCACGTGAAGTGCTTCACATGTCATCTGATGTGCACACTGCTGGGGAAAGATCTACCAATCTTATTTTTGGCCAGTGTCAAATCAAGGCCCCTGATGCCACGCCTGTGACATTAACAAGTACGTTGTATTCCCTGGTCTCATTGAAACCAAACATTTAATTTTGAGAACATTTTGGTATGCTGTTAATTTGACTGACTTGTGAAACTATCAAAATTCTAAAAAACATTTTTAGAAATCATGAAAGTTTTTTTTTAATTTATACCATACTTTTTAATATGTAATAATGTCACTGAACTTTGACAAGTTTTGTAAAGGAGGAAATTACTAAATTAAAAATATGTTTAACCCACAACACATCTGGATTAGGATATACTATCAAAATGGGAGGGAATGACAAATGTGCAATAGTCATTCAAATTTAAAAATAAATTTTAAAAAGGCTTGCAGATATATCCAGTTTGGGTAATTAAATCATTTCAAGTTTATTATTGGAAATCTACTTAAAATAATTTTCAGTTACTTGGGAAATGAAAATGGAAGGAGAGCAAAATACACTATAGTTTGACTTTACTACCTATCTTTATTAGAAGAAAATGAAAAATTAACGCTTGTTGATATTTGGGAACCATCTAGAATTACAGTTCTTATATGTTTCTAAAAAGGATTACTGTAAAATAGCTATTTAAGATGGCAAGTGCTTATCTACCATCATCTACTTATCTAATTTGAATATTTCCATAATTTTAATCAGGAAAAGAACATTAGATTGGAATCTGTTTATAACTAAAGTGAATAAAAACTAGTATAATAAAAAGGTGTTCAGAGACTCAGTTTTTCCTTAAGGGTTCATAATGACCCTCATAAAATAAAAGCTGCTTGTAATAACCCGAGTTTTCCAGGAAATTTAACTGTTATCATTGATGATGTTAAATGATTTCATGAAAAAAACAAAACAAAACATAGTGCACGTGCTACAAAAACAGGTAAAACCCTCCAGGATTTCTAGTGTGACTTCCTTACTAAGTATCTCTGTTGAACTGCTAGTTGGACGTACATATCTGTTCAGTGCTGCTGAAAAGAACAGATGCTTTCAAAACTAAGCTTCGTGTACATGTACATTAAAATATTTTCTGTGGAATGTTTTTGTAATGAACTATTGAGAAACATTTCTGTTTGCTAAATGAACTTCTGTTCACCAAGAAAACGATCCTATAAAAATAAGCCAAAGTCACCCTGTGCTGGCAGAAGCTCACTGTTCTCTCAAATCCACTATTTTGCGTGGAAATTTCTTTAAAATATGTTTGAGTCATTTTTTAAAGGAATGGGATGGAAGAGTCTGAGACACAACAAAAGAGTTTGGGGAAAGCAGTGAGGATTTCTGTGTGGTACTGCGTACTTCTTGGCAGAAATCTGCTTTGGTCATCAGCTTTGGATGCCCCCGTTCACTGCAAAGCTATGCTTCATGTGTGCTTTGCAACCAAGCTATTTACAAGACTTTAAACCAACATATTAGAACTTTTCAATTAACATTGCAAAACGAAATATCATTTTAAATGAAAATTAATTAATACTAAAATTATAAGCATGTTCAGTTTCCATTCACCTAGAAATGGAAATATAAACTGTAAACATTCATAAATATCCTGTGTAAAAATGGCAAAAAAGTTTACTAGTTTGATACCTACTACCAAAATTGAATTTTAATTCTTTTCTATTTTTAAATTATTTTTCGCCCACACTGTATGGCTCAATAACCACCCGTGGATACAAATTGTATTGATCTTGCTTTGTGACGAACTATCACAGGATAGTGCTAGTTATTGTATCTTCTAGACTACAGGTTCTCAATCTTGGCTGCATCTTAGAATCATCTGGAGAGCTTTTTAAAAAATATTAATTCCCTCCATTCCACCCTAGACCTACTAAATCAGAATCTCTGAGGGTGCAGTCCAGACATCAGAGTTTTTAAAAAGCTCCCCGTAATTCTAAATGCCTGATCTAGACCCTTGGTACTTACTGTGGTTAGGGGCCCAGCAACCTCAGCTGGGAGCTTGGTAGAAATGTGGGTTCTCAGGCCAACCCTGGGTCTACTGAATCTGAATTTTATAACAAGATCCCACAGGTCCAAAAGCTTCCTGAGGAGGTCAAGGCACGCAGACCACACCGAGCAGAGGATCCAGTGTTTGCACCGCGGCCTCACGAGATCGCTTCCACGTGCTTTGTCCTTCCCTCGCTTCCCTCCCTTCTCTTTCTTCCTCTCTTCCGTCTTTCTTTCCTTTCCTTCCCCACTTACTTTCGTTCCTTCTCTTTCTTCTTGAGACACTTCTAAAAGGGGAGGAAGCAACAACAAGCTGAAATACGTGGAGTGGGCCTGTGTACGAGTCATAACAGTTCCTTAACATTTCTAGAGAACCTTACATTCAGCAAGAGTTGTTCACGTGTTAATTTCACTTGACCCTAATTAAGATCAGCCCTGGAATTTAGGCATTATTATCCCCGTCATGCAGGAGGAAATTGAGGCCCAAAGAGCCCCGGGGATGGGGGGGTGCTCAAGGTACCGCAGTCTGTGGAGATGCCGGGGCGGGAACCCAGGCGGCCGACTTGACAGCAGCTCCTCAGAGGATGGACTTGGACGTGAATTGACAGCAGTCAGAATTTTTTCAGACGTTTAAACATGCTAATTAATTCACAAGCGAAAACAGCTAACTGCCATCCACTAGCCCAAGTTGTGGATTTACAATACCGGTCGCTTAGCAACTTGCAGCGTCTACACCAACTTTCGACCAATTCTCAAACTGCTGGCATAAGGACTTCCTCTCGCCATCAACAGGGCTTTTGCGCATGTGCGATCGCCTTCCGGAAAGAGGCGCCTTTTTTTTGGATGCCTTCCGGGCGATACAGGAAGTGGTTCTGGGGCGCATGCGCGTTGGTTCGCGGTTGTCGGGGCAGTTTCCACCGCCGGCGTGAAGAGACCCCGCGCTCCTGGGGTTCCTGCACGCGCTGCCCCGCCCTCTTCTCCTCCGCGCCGGAGCAGCTCTTTAGGCTCCCCGGTGCCCTCCGCTCCGCGCTGCCGCTTCCCGCCCGGGCGCGACTCTCAGGTAAGCCCCGTGCCGCGTCCCCTCGGCACCCGCCGCTATGGCGTCCGCGGAGGCCGGATCCCCTATGCGAGGAGAGCCTCGCTGCGAGACGCTGGGGCGTGAGCCGTAGCGAGCCGTACCGTTGACCCAACCTCATTAGTGGCCCCTGGAAGCGAAGTCAGGCCTGGAAGGGGCCTTCGGGGGTCACCTAGGGTCTAACCCGTCGTTTTTCTCATGGGGAAAGGGAGGGGCCTCACTGAGTTAATAGCCATGTCTGTCGCCTCCGTCCTTCCCTATACATGTGTGGCTTCTCATCAGACACATGTCACTTGCTCGGAAAAGCCTTCCCTGACTGTTCCACAGAAGGGCATTCTCTTTTAGTCTCTCCCGTGTCAACGTGCTTAACTTCCTTCGTAGCACTTACCATCTCTGAAACTGTTCGCTTCGGTCTTCCCCAGCCGAGTATTTATTGTATATGTGTACAGTTGTACAGGCAGTATTTCTCCAGGCAAGTATTTATTAAATGCGAGAGGCTCTGGGCCAGGCATTGTGCTGCGGGACCAAGAGTACGTTAAGGGAAGAATCCAGGCAGGTCCCTGCCCTCTTGGCGCTGGCATTCTGTTCGGGAAGAGGTTGATTGCAAAGAAGAAATTCAAGGGGTAACAGGTGCTGTGAAGAAAACAAGGGAATGCGATTGAAGGTTGGATTATGTTAAATTAGGGAAGCCTCCAAGCAGGTGACTTTTAAAAAGAATAGGTCTGACAGCTTTATTGAAGTATGACTTACGTAACATGAAATTTTACCCATTTAAAGTGTACGTTTAGATGAGTTTGGGAAATTTCATGTAGTTGTGTAAACATCACGACAGCGCAGTTGTAAAACACTTCCATCACTCCAAAAAGTTCTGTGGAGGCAACTTCTGCGATCTGAAGAGGCAGCTGGGGGGTGCCGGGAGGGAGCAGGCAAATCGTCCCTGCTCCGAGGCAGTGAGCTTGCAGTGTCCACTGGCAGAAAGGAATGGACGGAGAAGCAAGGAGGGAGAGTGAGAAGGGATTAGATAGGCTCTACAGGTACCTGTGCCTTCTGAACTTTTTGAAGCTTCCCGATGCTCAGCATAACATGTCCTGATGGGCTGATTAACACGTGAATATGCCTCTTGCCTACCATGTTCTTTTCCCTAAGTTCATCCGTAGTGTAGAAATGTTCTCTCCCAACTTGATTCAGGTTGGAGAAGGGGAATAGAATGGAAGTAACATTTGTTAACAATCTGTAGTATTGTGGGCACTGTATGTGTGGTTAGCGTCTCTATTTTGCAGATGAGAAAATCAAGGCTAAATAACTTGCCCAGAGCTATATAGCTAGCTCCCAGATCTGATTCCAGAGTCGTGTCATTCATTCACACAGTTAACTGGAGTTTCAAGTACATCTGTACATTTAAGGGCAGAGGTGCGGTTGGCAAGCACCATCATCTCGCAAAGTCGCTTTCTGAGATATAAAGGTACTCTTAGCTGTCACTCTGACCTTTTCTTCTGCACATGCTTATTTTTTATGAAGCTGGGGAAACTTAATGCCTTCCCAGATTCCTCGCGGTTTCTCCATTCTGGGTTGTCTTGTTTAAGATGTTACGCTTGTTAGCAAGTATGGCACTCAGCTATTAGGCTCCTTTTGGAAAGGCGATGCAGTAGACTTCTGGGTGTAAAAATTTGCTAGCTGGTTAACAGTTAAAATGTGGCATCATTGTATGTGAATCATCAGGGAGTTACAATACGTAGACTTTCTCTTTGGAAGGAAATAAAAAGAGAAACTTTTTTATTGCACCCACTATGCGATAGACACTGCCTTTTCTACATAATCTGATTTGATCATCAGAGCAGCCCTGGAGAAGGTGTTGATATTCTTTGTGTTTGCAGAGCAGGAAAATGAGGCCTGGTGAGATTAGAATCCCAGCTCTTGCGAGTGGCAGCGGCCCTGTTCAAATCCTGGTGGGTCTACTAGTCTGTGATACCCAAGGAAAACCTTGGCGTAGGGGAAATTGTTGCTAGCTAAGCGTCCACAACATAATGGCAGATGTTCTGGTACTCTGACAGACTAAAGTGGATTACTTTTTCAAATTAATCCTACAGAGAAATTGCTGAATTGCTGCCAGGACTAGTTATTCTTGGAAATTTCATGCAGAGACATTGACTTAACTAAACTAATGCAGAAATTAGTAAGAAGAAAGTAAACTCCTAGTAAGTGGAAACATGAAAGAAAGAATGGGGACGTTCTGTCTTGTTTACTGTTGTAGTCTTGGTGTACACTAACTATGTAAAGAGTGAACTAATTGATTTTTCTAGCTGGTAACTAAAAAAAAAAAAAAAATCTAATGTGCTGATACTGGTTCATTAATGGTGATGAAGGTACCACACTAATATAAGATTAATAATAGGGGAAACTGAATATGGAATGTATGCCAATTCTATCTTTACAATTTTCTGTAACCTAAAACTATTCTGAAAAAGTTTATTTTTAAAAAGCACTCTGCAGCCAGGTGCGGTGGCTCACGCCTGTAATCCTAGCACTCTGGGAGGCCTAGGCAGGAGGATCGCTCGAGGCCAAGAGTTTAAGCCCAGCTTGGACAACATAGCAAGACCTTGTCTCTATGAAAAACTTAAAAAATTAGCCAAGAATGGTGGTGCACACCTGTAATCCGGCTGCTTGGGAGGCTGAGGCAGCAGAATCACTTGAGTTCAGGAGTTCAAGGCTGCAGTGAGCTGTGATTGTACCGCTGCATTCCAGCAAGGCCCTGTCTCTAAAAAAAAATAAAAAATAAATAAAAAGCACTCTGCTTATTGCATATTTAGATCTCTTCTGAAGAGAAGCCTGGACTCAAGCCATTTAGAATATTTCCCTTCTATGACTTAATTATCTTTACACTTTCTCTCAGTGATATTTATTACTTAAGAAAGTACCTGTCCTTAACATTTCCCATTATTTTTTAGGGCCAAAATGAGTCTGTTTGGAACAACCTCGGGTTTTGGAACTGGTGGGACCAGCATGTTTGGCAGCACAACCACAGATAATCACAACCCTATGAAGGTACCTCACAAAGCTTCACAGGGTTGGTAGAAAGAGTTCAGACCAGAGTTTCTCACATCAAGGACAGAAGGAGAACCTGAGATGGCTTGGGACCCTCCCTTGGTGTGAAAGCTCTGAAACTTGTCTAGGCCGACTTTCTCAAGCACTGGAGCACAGATAACATTTGTCCCCTGGACTAGTGTCCTATTCCTTTCGACTTGCCAGATCTCCAGAATTGCACAAGATGCTTGTTAATGCAGCACATTCCTAGGGCCCAGCCCAAGACTGTTGAATCCGAATTTCCATGGTTGGGGAGAAGGGAGGGCAGTTGATAACTGTGATTAAGCACTGGGGCAAGAGTGACCTTGTGGAGCCGCATGTGGAAAACAAGGCCGAGGGCATTCGTTTAGAGTGCTGCTTCCAGGCCGACAGTGCTAATGCTTTCACTAGCTTGAGTATTGCTCCTCTTTTTGATAAAGTAAGGAACGGTCCAATTCAGTTGGTTTGTGAGCACAAGGAAAGTGCGCCGTTAGGTGATTAGTGAGAAAGAAAGCAGTTTTGAATTAAATTGTGATTATGCAAACATTTTAACATTGACTTTTCCCTCCAGGATATTGAAGTAACATCTTCTCCTGATGATAGCATTGGTTGTCTATCTTTTAGCCCACCAACCTTGCCGGGGAACTTTCTTATTGCAGGATCGTGGGCTAATGATGTAAGTGCTCCTTAAACGCATGTTTTATAACTTATCTCTTTGTATGGGCAAGGTTAGCTTTAGTTCCATTTTTTCCCAAGTAAGTGAATCAGAGTTAAGACTTATGCATAGCCTTTTTAAAGAAATCAATTTAGAGGGTGTGAACCCTTCTGAACAGCAGATATCACTTGTTCTTACACTTATTTTTGTTAGGAAAGCACAATCATTTGCATTGCTCAGAAATTCCTACTGTAGTTTGGTATGTTGAAGTGTATTCCCAAATCAAATGTAGTATTCATCAAGAATGAATGTTATCCATGATGGCGCACACAAATTTCCCTTTTGGCATCCTGAAAGCGTTCTTCAGGCATCTGTTAAACTTTTCAACTTAGATGATACAAATCCTTTAACATTGTACTTACCTTTGTGTACAAAAACAGATAAAAAAAATCATAATGTAAAAAAGATAAAAGCGGATACAAAAATAAAGAATGTGAAGAGGCACTTCACAAAAGGGAGAATAAACTTAACCATTCAGTCATACACTTAAATGCAAATTTATAAGATAGACTCTTTTTTCTATCAAATTAACAAAATTAAGTTTAAAAGAATAATAGTACCAGCAAGGGTAAACTGGAACCTTACATGTGCTGCTGGTAGGTATATAAGTTGGTAGAGCTCTTCCAATGATAATTGGCAACATCATTCACAGATTCTTAAGTTTATACCCTTTGTCTCATTGATTCCCCTTCTGGGACTTGAGGAGATCCAGTAATGTACATTATGTGCGTTGTCTAAATTAGTCTTTATAACAGCTAAAGAACTGTGAACTTACTGTCATCCCTATTTGATGAATCGGGATGGTGAGGCCTCAGGAAGTAAAATAACTGGCTTGGGTCACCTGTCTGGGTGGCAAAGCAGGAGGCAGCAGCCAGCACAGTCCAGCTCAGGGTCTGTGCTCCTAGCCGCTGCCGGGTACTGCCTGTCATGAAAACAGGATGCTGGTGAAAATTTTGAAAATTGTGATATCCAACAGTAAAGTCAGTTTATGGCATGCAGGTGTCTGAGAAAGGATTCACACTGGTCTGCAGCAGCGAGGCAGCAGGTATTGGGGGACGAGGAGCGTTGTCCAGGTTGAACAAGTTTGCTTTTTACATGCAGTTTCTGGAAATATTTCAGTTGTTTTGCTGCTAAAAAAAAAAAAGAATGTTTAAGAATGTTTAGAGATGAATAGACTAATGATACAGGTGAGATAAGTAAAGATACTATATAATCTAGTCTTCAAGAAAATATGTGTACATGAAAAGAAGACTTGAGAGCACACGCAGCTGTTACCTGTGCTTGTCTGTGGTGGGATTAGGATGATTTTTATTTTCTCATCATAGAAAATCTCTAAGTAAAACACATTGCTTTTATAATCAGGGGAAAAATTATATAAAAAAAGTATTCAGAGAGGTAAGTTTCCACTTCGGTCTTGGATAGTAATGGATAAGTGATATTCTGCCTTAGAAGATATGTCTTGTAGATGCGATGGAAAAAGTCTCTGCACTTTTAGGTTTAAGCAGTAGAATGTGTATATTTTAATGGTTTAAGAAAAGGAAAGCACGTGCTTGGCATATTTATTTCAATTGCTTTGTTCTTAAAGTTAGATAATTAGGTTGACATGAGAAGTCCATGTATAGTTAAATTGTACCCCATTAATTATTAGGTGTTAAATGCAGGTAATACTTCATGAATTGTTTTGTTTGCATTAATTTGTCTGTTACCACAGGTTCGCTGCTGGGAAGTTCAAGACAATGGACAAACCATTCCAAAAGCCCAGCAGATGCACACCGGGCCCGTGCTAGATGTCTGCTGGAGTGATGTATGTTTCACTCCATTTCTAATGTCCTCTTTCACTTAAAGTACAGTGTAATTCTGAATATTTAATAATCTGAACACAGTTTAGCATGTATGTATCTACATTGTAGGAATTCTAAGTTTTTGAATGTAAATATAGTAATTTATTGAAGTTTTTAATGTTAGCTTTAGTTAGGTGCTCTCTCTGAAAGCTTTTCTTGAATTAAATTTTGGTGCGTGATTGGGGAGAGTTTAATGCTAAGGGACCATTTACAAAGAAACCAGCAGGGCAGGTGAAGCACCCAGGGCAAGTGCGCGGCCTCCTGGAGCACAGCATGGGCTACAGCTGTAGAGGGGCCTCGGCCTGCTGTGGGGGAGCCTGTCTCCCCCCGTCTCCTACCACTGCTGCTGGTGGCTGAACCCAAAAGAAGAGAGAATACAAAGGGGCCTGACTGACAGTCAGGGGCAGATGTGCTGTGAGGCTCAGGAAGCTAAGCCTGAAGGCCCCTCACCTGCAGAGGTCCCTACCAGGCTTTGTACCTATTTTTTTAAGTCATGTTTCTTAGGTATGATTTGCCTGCCTACAGTAAAATTGAACATTTTTAGCATACAGTTCTGTGAGTTTTAAGAAACGCATAGAATTATGTTCAAGATGTAGAGCAGATCCCTCAGAGATTCCCTCCTGCCCTTTTGTAGTCAAATCCTTCCCACTGTCGGCTCCTGGAAACCACTGATCTGTTTTCTGTCCCTAAAGTTTCGCTTTTGCAAAAATGTCATATAAATGAAATCCTGTAGCGTGTAACCTTTTCAGTCTGGCTGCTTCACTCTGCACGTTGCATGTGATGGATCTCAATCCATCCCTGTGGTTGCGTCTGTCGGTGGTTTGTCCTGTTGCTGAGGAGTCCTCCCTTCTATGCGTGTGTCACCACTTATTCAGCCGCCTGCCAACCGAAGGACATTTGGGTTTCCCATTTTTGGTGCTTAATGAGTAATGCAGCTATAAATGTTTACATACTGCATTTTCTGCGAACATAGTTTTCATTACTTGGGTAAATATCTAACAGTGGTGTTGCTGTCTCATGTGGTAAGTATATGTTTTAACTTTATGAGAAATTGCCAAATAATTCTACTTTACATTGTCATTAATCTCATCATTATTTCTTTGATCTTATTTAGCTTATATATGAGAAATAATTCTAGTATTTATAAATATTTTGAGATGCTTTAGGAGCCAGAGTTGCTCCCATTTTATTCATTAGCAATGATGGGCTTCTCGAGGCATTTTTGTCAGTCTATAAAATGTATTCCTGACATACCTGTTTGGGTTATTATGAGACTAAATCAGTAGATGTATGAGAACAGTTTGGAAAGTGAATTGTTCGTTACACATGACATGCAACCTACTTTTCCTGTAGTAAAGTAGCAGATTGAATAGATGTAAAATATTTCTAATTTATTTTGCCTGTCTTTCTTTACTAATTGGGTAATGGGTCAGAATTTCAAAGTTTCTTACAAAGTATGGCAAGAAATAGAATGAACCGATAGAGGAATTATGTTGCTCAAATGTTGTTGAGTGGCTGTGGCATTTCTATTAATAAAACTGATTATAACCTATTTCCTGTCTCCCAAGTTACAGACCAGCTAGTGGGGAGATCAAACGCAGGAATGAACTCAGTGAGCTAAGTTCTGAGGGAGGCAGAATGAATGGGTGCAGGTGGGTGAGAACATAGAAAGCAGCTATGAAGTTTGGGAAGGATTCCGTGAATGCTTTACAAAAGAGACAAGAATTGGGCCGAATCTTAAAAAGAGAAAAGTAAACCGCATGCTTACAGCTTTTTAGCATTGCCTCATCCAGGCTTGGCCTGGCTTCAAATTTCATTTCCATATCTTTGCCAAGTTAATTATCAGGCACCTATTGTGTGCTAAGCCCAGGGGATATAGTGGAACTCAAAGTAGGCCAAACAAACAAACAAACAAACAGACCTGTGCTCAGGGAACTCATGGTCTCTTAGGACAAACAAATACAGAAACAATTAAGAATTACAGATAGTGGAAAGTTGTGACAACTAGATTAAATCTACAAAGAATCACAAGTAGTTAAGGAGTTTGCTTGAGAGGTCACAACAAGTGAGTGGCTGAGCCTCAGCCCAGACCTTCCTGGCTCCAGAGCCCTGTGGTTAGCCTTTCCCGCGGAGCCTTAGAGGAGCACTATGGGCTCGCCTGGGAGGAGTTGGGGTGCAGCTGGGAGTGGAAACCACGCAGGTAGAGGCACCAAAGACCCAGTTACCTTGAGGCATGAAAGCCAAACTTGGTGAAAAATAAAAATTACAAAACAAAACTTGCCTCAGTATGATTAACCTATTAATAGTGTCTATAAAGACAGAGATTTAATTTTTCTTAGAATGTAAAATTTTCTACATCTTATTTTAGGATGGGAGCAAAGTATTTACGGCATCATGTGATAAAACTGCCAAAATGTGGGACCTCAACAGTAATCAAGCAATACAGATCGCACAGGTAATAAAAGCCCCCCGTAAAAGAGCTGGAGGAGACTGGTACCCAGGATTGTGATGATTCTTTAATTATAGTAGTTCTCTATTACAGAAAATGTGGTTCGACGCTATTAAATCAATTAGACTTAATATACCGGAAACCTCTTTAGCACAAAAATAACACCAGTTTTATAACCATTCGTGCTCTTACTAGTATTTCAGGTTGTTTTGTCCTGGGTCTTCCATATAGGTGCGGATGGCATCATAAGGAGTCAGTGACATAAAAATCTATAAAAGGACCACAAGTTAACAGGTGGTCCTTCACATTCCCGTGTTTGACATTCCGGCACCTGTGTGTGGCTGCCTTCTACCAGCTACATATGGTCGCTCATCCATGTAGCAAGTGTTTATTGCTGTTTGTCAGGCACTGCCCTGGGGCTAAGAAATACAGCAGTGAGTAAGAG